TCATAAAAATTAATTCAAGCTAGTTCTTTTTCACGTACATAAAATTACTTACGTGGCAATGAGATTTCAGCAAATTTATCTCTTTATTGAATATAAAACTTAGTTGTTGACTAAAGCCCAGTAATTACGAAAATGGATTCAGCGGCCAAGTTTGCCGAGAAGATAGAATTGTTCTCAGGAACAGACGCAACTGTTCGCCGGGAAGGTCGCTCCAAGATATCGCGGCGTTCTTCGCGCGTTCTCCGCTCGCGTGAGGCTACGATCGCATGGCACTTTCGGCGCGATCCCGTCGCTTAAATTCGGGAACTTCTCGCCTAGGCGACTCACGTTTACGGTGCGCGGTCGGAGGCGCGAGATAGCGACGTCCGATAGCGCCCGGCTGGAAGTCGCATTAATTTTCCTTGGTCGACTCCCTCGCGCGACGCTGCGGTACCGTCAGCCCTCCTATCCCGCGTCGCGGGAGGGGTGGCTGGTTCATGAAATGGGTACGCAAGGGACGTTTCTCCCGTGGCGGCATTTAGGTAAGGTATTCACGTAACACATAAGCAACCGCCACGCGCAACCCACCGTGTGCACAGAGATAAGAGCCGAAGGTGGCATCTTAGGCAGCGCTCCGAATAGAATTAAATTCCCCGGAGCCATTGCGGAGAGGAGGGGGGAGGGAAAGAGACAACGCGACTCGATATCGTCCCGACGATATCAACAAGAGCGGATGCGGGGCAAACTTCTCTCGTAGAAGAGATAGACGGATAGATAGGGGGAATAAGGGGGCGCGAGCAGAGGAAGAATGGCGTACGTTGATAATTCTGATGCGGCTACGTAGGCTGGGTTACGCTGTCATCGCCAAAGAGCATCACCGTAAGTGCAGTTTATCTATAACGGAGAATCAGCATTAACTATCGTATAACAAAACTTCCGATATACTTTCCGATATAAATTGTTAAAAGATGCAAAAAAGATTTTTTGTAATATCAAATGCAAATCGTCTCTCTCTGATTTTAACAGAATCTTTGTTTCTTAAGAGTTTTGACACAGGTTTTGATATTACGGGAGCGTTTAAATAGCACAGTCGATTCATTTCGTATGCATGGTCCCGACTATAAGTTAAGGAATTGCCTAAACGTCCGTAAAATCTAAATCTCCCGCACTCTCATCTCGGGAATCTCTCTCCTCTGGTGAGTATGTACACCACGCCAAGTTATTTCAACAATCCTCTGAACTTATCGCACATCCAATTTGTCAGGCCGCGATCAAGAACCCTGTTTCAAGAATTTCTGAAGAAATACTAACCTTTCGTCATCTCTCATCGTATTTTCTTTTCCGCGTATATGTCTCTTTATAATTTTGTAAAAAGGATAGGATAAATTACTTTCAAATGTAATAAGATATAAGAAATATGCTTCGTAAAACTTTACATTTTTAATATAATTTATATTTTCAAGTTTCGAAATTATGTTTTTGAATATTTACATTTTTGAAAAGTCCGAATTTACAATTTTTAGTATTTTTAATTTACAATTGTGTGTCTGCTATATTCATAAATTTGCAAAAGAAAAAAATTTATTATAATAAATTCAACACTGTTTAATTATTATATCGATAGAATGACTATTCAGTGATTTAAATTTTTGCCTTTGCACGTTGCTTGCTTTTGAATAACATGGAGAGATAGTGAATTTTAATGGAAAACCGAACGTGCGGCCAAAGCGGCTGGAAAGAAATCGCGATGATTCTGTGAAATATGGCTCAAGAGCGAGCAGGTTTTCGGGACTGCAGGGCTGCGTTAATGGGTGATTGATAAACGACCTTTTCTCATCAACTGCATCGGCTGCATATTTATCACTATGCGACCCCGACAAAAACGCGCGTGCACTCGTTCCATGTAGCCGCGTCAGCGATGCGAGAGAAGCGGATGACATTACTCCCTTTGCAAAACGCAAAGCATGGTATAAAAATACGAAAAGTACGTAAGCTTAAATAAATAATCACGGAGTATGCTTTCACTATGCTAACGAGTTTATATTATATGAGTGTTACATCCAACAATGCAATTAAAACATTTTTAGAATTTCTCCCACTGTTTTTAAATGTAAATAGATGATCAAATGTAGAGAGAGAGAATATATATATATATATATAAACATTTGTATAAAATATTTAATAATATATATTAACGATACAATATTGTAGAGTTAGAAATTTCTTTAAATTTATTTTTGGAACTAAAAGAACAGATATGTCAATTTTTCGTAATGTAAATTTATATGAACGCGATCGATGACGTATTAATTCTCGTGTAGGAGTCAATCGAGCTGAAGTACACGCGTCATGTAAGGTGTCCCTTTCGTGAATCCACGTAACAGATACTGTCGATGTTAAAGTGCCCTTCGACGAACCCACGCTTGGTGCTAACAGCTCACGCGTGTCCGCCACGTGTCAAGCGCCGTCGGTTCGCCCGCTCGTGCGTTTAACTTGGTGGAATTAGGCGGCACGAAATTTGCCCTTTCTGGACGATTTGCAAAATAACATGGGCAGATGGTGTCAAAATGCGATTCTCACGCGCAACGTATTTTACTACTTGAGAATTTAGAACGCATCACAGTTAAGCGAATCGAATTTTCAATTTGATGAGAATAGTCGAAGGAAAAAGATGAATTGCTGAAGAAGACAAATGTGATGCAAAGAAAGAACTTGAAATATTTTTTAAAACATTTTACTTAGACTTGCATCAATATATTATTTCAAGTTTCTACATACTTTTGAGCAATAGATAGTTTGCAATTTATTGAAGTTTAAACTATACAAATAAAAAAATTATGTAAATGTGGCCTACATATATCTCTTTTTACTATCTCTTGTCATTTTACATATCATATTGTTATTGTGACAGAAAGGAAAGAGGGGAAATTGAAGAAGTAAAGCTTCTTCGCAAGAATATTATTGTTTTACGTGAATCAAGGCAGAGGGATATAATATGGGATTAGGGATCGGTATATCGCGTCTCTCCAAGTTTGTGGGGAATGGCGCTGTATGATCGGCAATAAATATAGTTTATAATCCAGGAATGGCTGCACCAAGATACAGAGATGTTTCGTAGCCACCCTGCCGTGCGACGCGTGTCACACGTAACGTCGTCGTAATGACTCTTTCGACTTTACGACTCTGAATTAGGATTAGACTCGACTGTATCGCGCGTCACACTATCTGCTGCACGTGAGAATTATTTAATTTATTCCGCGCATGAATCGAGCCAAGGAGAGAGCCATCGACGAAATAGCGTCGAGCGTATCGAATTGAGATTGTTTCTCAAGATTGAGTCTTCCATTCTGTTTTTCATTATCGCGAAAACAAATTGTAATAATTGTAATATTATAATTTGTCACAGTAATGCAAACGCATTGCATCATTGATTTCTTTGCGTGACTTCTCAACTGTTTTATGACAAATTCATGAATCTATCCACGCTTAAAGAATTTATCAATTATTTTATCATCTGCATTACGTGAGTTTTTAAATTAATGTGTTAATAGAAATTGTTTTACACAAATACAAATTTTGCATTACAAAATTATTCAGTTTGCAAAACGGGATAGCTTTGTACGAACTAATTTCTTGATATCAAGACAACTGCCACTTTTCTTAGTTCGATTTGCAGTATCTGTGGAGGAAAGAAAAAGATTTTTCTGTTTTTGAGATACATTCTATATAAGATACAGTGAAACAGTGATACAAGAAACAGTGATGTTCCGCAAATACTTGTTCGCGAGTTTCCGCCGGGCGCAGGATAGCGCCAATCGAAAAGTCATTACAACTTTTTGCCGACTCAATCAAGAAGTTAATGTCCTTTAACCTCGCGGCGTTCCCCTTAGGATTTGCCGGGATCTCGGGAATCGCGTAAGAAATCGACGGCTCTCACATGCCCGGTAAAATAGATCACCGGCGTATGATTGATCGTCTATTGACTGTGTGGCGGGTTTTGCTCGCTGCACCCACTTGTATCGGGAGTTATTTTTCCGGCATGAAACTACGATGCTGCCCATCTTGACTTATTTCGGTTTATATACATAATTTCAAAAAAAGTAATTAAATACATCGCAATGATTCGTACTTCAATAATTGTGCAATTGAAATGTACAAACATAAATATTGAAAAAATAAATAAATATATATAAAGATGTGTAAACCGAGAATTATTTTATGAACTTGAAAACATATTTATCCTACAAAAAATAATACAGTATGTAAATATATTGAAAGTTTCTTCTTGGTCAGCTTATTTATATGATTAACAAAACGAATAATTAAGAAAATAATTTTTGAAATTTCTATTACCTGGATCTTTAAATAAAATCTTTATATTTTTTATGTATACGTTTTTAGAATGACTTTTATTGCCATCATCGTATCTTCATCAACAGACCCGGCTCATCTGCCAAACGTCCAATATCGCAGCGAGTCGGCCATAAAAAAGAAGCGAAGATCAGGACACGGGCGTTAAAAATATTCAAGATCGTTTGTCAGGCTGAATTACAGCCCCTCTAGTCGTATCCTCTCCCCGCCGTCACCTTCACCACCCCGTTCGCCACTCTGGCAGAGCAGGATTCTGTGGTACGCGTTGCGCAACGCGAAGAGGGTAAGGTAGTCGGATAGAGAGAAAGGGAGTGGTAAGAGCCGACGGCGACGACGACGACGACGACGACGACGATGACGACGACGACGACGATCCCGGGCACATGTGTCGAACCTGAAATATGTAGGCGTGGTCTGGACGGTGCTAGCAGACGCGTCCCGACGAGCGAATATGTTCACCCCGTTGCTACGCTCCACCCCCGTATAACGTTGCAAACACTGCCATTGGCCGGTGCCACCCTCGTCGCGCCTCCACCTGCCACGCTCGTGCTGTCCTCCGCGACAGCTACCCCTAAATACGGGGGATGCGCGAACAGCATTCTCATTTTAACACGAACCGCCGATACGGCACCGAGTGTTCGCCACTTTAGTGCGCCCCGGACTGTACACCAGATCGGTGAGTCCACTAAGGGGTGTTAGTTTTGCTTTCTGTGGTTTATTTCGGGCTCGCGTGTTTGCGAGCATCGAGTTTTTGGAGACAACTTTGTGAGGAAAAGTGCATTCTGATGTCTTAGAGAAGATTGAAGAGGCATGGAAAACGTGATTCGGCTAGTGTAGCATACAGGCTGCGTGTACTTAGAAGACAAAGTTTGCCATCGTTATCCGGTAAGTACTATTTTATTTATGTGATTATATACAGAATTATAAGCGCTTAAGATATGTTATAAAAACTTTTAAAAATATTCTCAAATCTTTTCAGCAATTTTCTAGTGTCTTAGAAAAATGTCTTCAGTTTTTTTTTGTTATTTGAGATATAATTTACTGAGATATTGAGATAATTAACTTGCAATATTATTATGGGATTATTGGTCGATTATTAGTTGGAGTATTCGTTTTAACATATATATTAATAAAATTTCGTTTTTTGTGGAATTGATGTTAATACAAAATAATTATTAAAAATATATAGATATAATAGAAATAGATTATATTATTGTATAATTAAAAAATAACAATGGTGCAATTATTTAATTAATGTTTTATACCATTAAAAGCTGTTGCTTATTTGTTTTGTTGCAAGTAAAAGAAACTTTTTAAATTAAAATTTTTATCATAATATTACACATATTACAAATCTCAATATGAATTGCATGTGGTATTTTTCTAAAATAAAATTTAATTGCGATAGTTTCAGTCAATAAGTTTCAAAAAGTTTAAATCTTCATATTTCATTAGTATACAATTATAAAAACATTATTTTCAAAAATTTATTTTGAAATATCAAATGTAGAAATCTTATTTCTTATTGCATGTAAATAGAAAGAAATAATATCTAGTCGTGAATTAATTTTCCTCGATTATCTCGGCGACCAATCTTGGTTTACTTCGATTTATGCCTTTCGAATATAGGACATCTGGGTGTATCGAATTTTGGATGATCAATCACATTCCGTGTGTTGCTGCGACATTAACACTCACTGTCCACTCACCGTCATTGTCGTAGGTCGATCATCCGGAGCGAGCAGGATGACAATGGAAGATCGCACGGGTGGCATCGACCGCGCCACCCCCGCGACCTCGACGCCGGTCACAACGGCACTGACGACGGCGTGCCCCGCGTCCATCAGCGACGTCACGCCCGACGCGTCGTACCCCATTCAACGAGCTAGCAAGCGTTCTTTCGATGTCGCTTTCCTCGTGGCACCCGATGAAAATCTTGCGCGTCGTCAGAACGAAAAGTTGCGATTGGTGAGCAGTCGAAAAGACCGTCCGCGAGATGACGTCTCCGTTGATAATGTTCTGGACACTGATAGGCTACCGCAGAATCTCACTATCAAGCATTACGACAACGATTCTGTCAGTTCAGATAGAAGAAGATTGCTGCAATGTACGGAGAACTCGCTAAGTCCACCGTACGTATCGCCTAGAACCTTAACGCCAACCTTGCCAGGACTCTCCCCGGACTCCGACGGAAGGAGATACGCACCGACCGGTAGTCGACTTCAGAAGACCCCGAGTCCGCCTACCTTTGTTGGACATCAGTCGATGTTGGCCACCTGCCCGGACTCCACGGATCCTTCGATTTTGGCTTGCGCGAAGATTTACGAGACTGGCATCTCCTGCGCGACCGATCGTCACGGCGAATCCCGCAGTGCCTTCACAAAGGTTAGTCTGGTTGGCCAGCGGAATGGCTTCAACGACGATAGCCAAGCGTCGCCGAGATCGTCGATATCGCCGGATGATCGCGCGAGTTATCAGAGTAGCGTCAGTCCGCCGGTGGTGTCGTTGCCCGGTGCAACGAGCTACAAGTACGCACCGTTCCCCACCAAGATGGCATATCCCTTTCTGGCCGTGGGCTCGGAGGCCGGTCAGACGGCGTTGTTGGAGAACCTGAAGATCTCGCAGATCGCTCAGCCGCCCAAGGTGCCCAGTCCGAAGGTACCCACTTTCCGACCGGATCTCCCGCCGGTCTATCCCAACCTTTCCTACAATCCCATATCCGTATTCCCGCCGATGGCAGATGCTCTGGTCAGACCGAGATTCCTGGCTACCGCTGCCGGGGTAGCTGGTCTCCTGCCACCGTCGCTCGCCGCCCTGACTTTACCGGCGCAGAACGTCTGCGCCAAGTGCAACCTGTCGTTTCGCATGACTTCCGATCTAGTCTATCACATGCGCTCTCACCACAAGAGCGAGAACTCAGGCGAGGCAGCGAGGAGAAGGAGAGAGGAAAAGCTCAGGTGTCCCGTCTGCGACGAGAGCTTTCGCGAGAGGCACCATCTCACTAGACACATGACCGCCCATCAAGACAAGGAGAGTGACGGCATAGTTGAGCAGGTCGAGATCAAGAGGAGAACTACCAGTGTTCACAGTAAGTGACGACGGAAACTGCCGATCGAAGATGATATTCTAACGACTGGCTATTCTTTCGAGAACTGAATCGATAAATAACAAGAAGTAGCAGGTTATAATGTTTTTAGTTAATGTGATAACGATGAAAATGATGTTTGTTTATCATTATTATGTCTTAGATTGAAAGAAAAATTAAGGCATTATCTCTTGCAACAAAGAAAACGCTCGAACTATGTATAGGAAATGTGCAGATTTAATGTTGTCATTTTTTCGTTAATTTTAATTAAACTAAAGCTTTTATACATTTCTTTTATGAATAGATGAGATATCTATTAGGAGACTTATAAAGACATATTTTATTTACGTATTTTTATAATAATTTAGAATCGATCTTTTTTTAAAGAAAACATTAACAATTCTTAAATTACAAATAATTGTGAAAAAGAAGCTATTTCAAAATTAAATTTCAGAAATACACATATATGATAAAATCTTATTTTTTATTTAATTTTAAGCGAATAGATTTATAATTTGTTATTAATTAGAAAATTAGTTATAATATATATTTTTACTACGAAAAAGTCGATTTGAAATTAGGTAAAAAACTCAAAGATAAAATGTGTGCCGCTTCTTGAATCTGTGACATTATGTACAGATATACTGCGGCATTTCTATTGTATACGTGTATAATAAGAAAACATTAATGTCTACATAGGAAAATTAATATATCTATGGATACCGATCTTTATACATGTATACTCTAGTTTAACTTATGCACTGCGCTGAAGACATTCCCTGTCTAGTCAATATTAGGTAGGAACAATTTGTAAATAAATTTATTTCCTTGAAATTATTAAAATAAGATTATCTGCAACATGAAAGAATAGGAGAAAGGGGAAGGGGGGGAGAGAGAGAGAGAGAGAGAGAGAGAGAGAGAGAGAATGATCAAATTAATCCATCTAAAATATAGAAGAAAGAAATTTCATACATTTTAGAAAATCATAGAGTTGTAAAAATATTTTTATATCTTATACTTATATCTTATACTAGCAAGATATTATTTTTTAAATATTGTTTAATTTATTTTATTTTCATAAAAAAGTATATTTTTATTTTCATGAAAAATATAATTTTAATAATATTTTATAAAAAGTTATAATTTGAAAAGAAGATAGAAATATCAAACAGAATAGAAATTTAAGACTCCGAGATGTAATTTCGAATTTCCACGTAAAGAATTATAAAAATTTATGATTTATGATGATTTATATATTTAATATATTTGTATTATTAGTATGTACATAAAATTCTATATATAAATATTTAGATCATAGATATACTACATTCTTTTTTATACTCACAGAGTAAGAATGTGTATGTGACTTCATTTTATGTGATATTTCTATTTATTTCTTTCATATAAATTTGAAGTTTTATAAGTTCGAAAATATATTAAAAATCACTTATTAGAAACATTTAATTATTTTTAATATTTAATATTTCTTTTTAATATTTAATATTTAATATTTTAATATTTTTAAAATTTTTAATACGAAAGATGTAATTGGAAAACATAGTAGCTTTGAACATGAAACTAACTAGCGATAAAATATTCCAAAATCATGCGTACTTGGGGAAAAGCAGCGTGCTAAAATTGTCAGAGGTAAAATAATCGCGCGCGCTCGTATTTCGATATACTCGCAAATTACATACGGTCCATTCGAACGACTCCATTTTCACGATGTAGAAAGTAAAATATTTGCTGCGTATTTACAGCGGCAGACAGGTGTAACGGGTAGTGGGTGCGGATGCGGCGATAGTAGCATCGCAGGGAGTGGAAGGGTCAGGGATGTGGAAGGGTTGTATGTTGCGGAGGATGGTGAAAGCGTGTAAAGCGCATTTCGGCTGTGTGTACGGAGGTGAGGGCGGCGTGGCAATAAATAGATCGTAAACTGTAACCCGCGTCACACACAAACCGTCGGAGCGCGCATAATGGTAGGAAACAATGAATGCCATAATCGGAAACAGTGCCGGTTTGTTATCTGCCATTTACACTCCATTTAACTTCAAACAGCGAATCGGCCTGCGCGCGTTTTAAATACAGCCCGGTCTCCAACCACCGTCGAGAACCGCCCCCCCATCGTCGTTCTCCATCCCCCGTCGCACCTACCACCGTCCGGGGTATGCGGCTTAACATAGGGTTAAGCCCACGCCGAGTGGCTTAATATTGTCCGAAAATTACGTGAATTATCGCCCCGCGATTCCCGATGCGACTGGAAAAACTGGATGCGTATAGAGGTAACATTTTAATGCAAATGTTCATAAAGAGTAAAGATCAATGTTATTATTTCCGATTGAATTAACCGTTTAATTATAGTTATTTATATTGCGATTCAATATGCATAATGGAATTTTGAATAGGGTTATTCATATAGGAATTTTGAGAAGAAAGGCGTAATCATTATTTACGAAGTATGCAGTATTCTGTACAGCAATAATACACAGTAGTGTGTAAATACACATAGGAAAACTTTTAATACCAAAGGAAACGCGTTTATAAATTATAAGTAAGTTGTATGTGTATCGATACTGATTGAGAAAAGAAGTAATTCAAATATCATATAGATGTTTAACACGAACGATTCGATATTATATTCTACAATTGTCAGGAATATTATCAGAGAAATATCAGAAATAATATTGAGAAAGAAATACTCATTAAAATATTGCAATATGTATGTACGCAATTGTTCTGATATTAAATGTAATATATATATAAGTCTGTATATAATAAACTATTAATCTCTCTTCTTTATAGAGATATCGACGTTTTGTTTCGTTTTATAAGAATTGATTTATCCAGATATCATGTTGTATTACTTCGTTGTAAATATCACCTTGTACATAAGCACTGTATGTAATTTAGCTCGTTGTTAATTAATAATAATAAAAGAATATCCGTGACATTAAAAAACCATATGTGACATTTTATATCCTCTTAATTTATTATTTACGAATAGTTTACAATATAAATTATAGATTTATATTAATTATTAATACTTTATTTATTAAAAATTATTAAAAATGTTGAAATTTATAGAAAATATTTATTAGAAGATTATTTTTATTTTTAACTTATTTGTATATTTTTCTTCTTTCTCTTCTACTTGCATATTTACTGCAAAAATATTATTATCAATGAACATATAAAATGCTTTTTGTATCTTCTTTTATAACATATTTGTTCTTAACTGATTTTGTTGAGCATGATATGAACTCGCAATGTGACTATAGATATAGAATTGATTTTATTCTTCATAGACATCGTCCGTCCTCCTCTTGTCTTCTCTAGTGCTAAATCACTGAAAGCCGATTACTCGGCAATAGATTAATTTCTGGCCACTCAGAAACCTCTCTCTAACATCCAATTCGTGGGTGCTGGATCGATTGTTTCGTCTTTCGTTCAGGGAAAATAGTACACGAAATGTCAAACAATTGTTTTCAAATTTATGTAAAAATTGTAATATTAAAAAATCTTAAAATATTATCTTAATATTATATCTTAATATTATAAAAATAATTCACTCAATATAAGAATAATAATAAATATAAAAGTATACATTTTTTTTTTCAATTTTTAAATTTTCAATCATATTTGATTCATGAAAAATATTTATATATATATAAATTTTTTATAAGTATGTATATATATATATATATATATATATTATATATATATTATATATATATATATATA